CCCGGCTCTCTATGTGTAGGACCCCTAGGTGGCCTATCGTTTTGCAAGCAGCTGGAAGATGAAGACATGCTGGCCGAGGCTATTGGTGATACTGGCGCCTGGAAGACCGAGGTGGAGACTTGTCTGTGGTGTTCGGGATATCGACGAAAGTACAAACGACCCCGTCTACCAACCGTCTACGACTCGCATAGCACCCCGAAGCTAGATCGCCGGGATAGTCGCGATGCACCCGCCGGCTATCATATAGCATTGACTGGAACCTTGAAGATAGAGTACGAGGGATGGGTGCGAGCGCTCAAGTCAAGATCGTTGGGACGCCGACGACGCGGCTTTGTTCGGTGCGTGCAGTGGGTCGCACGCGAGCGGCGTTGTATACTGAACACCTTCGTATACCACCCCGTCTTTACCACCCGCTTCATTGAGCCTGCATCGCGTTCGTACTGCCAGTACAGCGCTCTCGTGACCTTCAGCGCAAACCTCGCGTCCATAGGGTACAACCGTAGAGACACGACACGATCATACATGGCCGAGAGAAACAAGGTCCTCTCCGCCCATCCGTGTCTCGCGCGCGTCGCGCAAACCCATATGCACCTCCGATCAAACATCCCCTATAGCACAACTGCGCGATAAGATCATCCAGCAAACATATACATCCGGTCGTAGTCGCGCTCTGAGACCCAACGTTAAACTCGTCCGTCTGTCCGAGTGTCTCGCGCCTGCGGAAGCAAGCTGGGCTTAGGCGTACTTGCGGGATCGCGGGTCGGAGGTGCGCACATGGACTCAGACGTGATTCGGGATATGGAGGGGCGGGTCAAGCGCGCCTCGTCCAACGATGAAGCGGTTCGGCTCGGAGCGCATGCGCAGGGTAACGGGTTAGATCCTGCGGCAAGCTGTGCGAGAACGGTAAAATGCATAGGATACACTGTATGCTGCGCTCGGCACCGAGCTCATCCAGAATCGGTACACCCAGTCCGAAAGTGCGAGCAGCGTCGCGCTCGAAGATGCGCGACAGATAATCAGCAGGATCTATAGACGACGTCGACGTCGAAGCGCCTGAACGCGGCTCCGGGATTTGCGCCCGCTCCCATTGGGCCACGCAGCACACGCCGGAAGCAACGCGCACTTTACTCGGTATGTCCGAGGCCCATACGACATGCCGAGAGAGGGCGGAGGCAAGTGTCGAAGCAGCACACGAGCGATTGACATAGCTCGGTGCAGCCAACGTTACCCAGTCTCAAGATCTCAACAGGCCGCCGCGCGCTCGTTTTTCCAAGCACGAAGTTCGAGCAAAGCTGCTGATCGAGCGACACCCGTGCAAAATTGCGCTACGCTGACTATTGGAATCTGGGGAAGGGGCCAATGGAGGGACGAGGAGATGTGTCGGCACGGACAGATGAGCCGGATTCCGCGTGGGCATGGACAGGACACACAGCCGCCCACAGGCCATCCGACCCATCTTCGAGAGCAGCATTCGAACATCGAACATCGATGAGACGAAGATGGTCGATGGGGTCGATGGTCGTGATCAGTGCTAAATTACCGTACGTGTACCGGATCTCCTCTTCCAAGAAGAGTGCCAGTCCAGCAGTAAAATCCAAGCGTACTCGAATACAGACGAATGACGGAGAACAGATAAAATGGATACTTGGAGCGCCATCCATATGCGGGTGGCACAATGAACGGGCCTAAGAGCCGGGATGGAGAAATGGAGCATGAAAATAGCTTGCTTCAGCTTGCTTCCTGGAGAGCGGAGAGCGGGGGCAAAAAGATGCGGCTCGGGGCGGGGCATGCGCAGGGCATTGTACGTGGCAGACGTAAGTGGACGCGGATAAATCAGAAACGCGCGCGTGCTCGGCGCGTGCAGGGCTTCGAGCAGTTGTTATGCGTACGACGGGCTCCTCTCGAGCGTAAGGCGCTTACAGCTCGACGGTCGAGACTTTGGTCGTACGAGGGCACGGGGACTCGAGGGAAGAGGGTCAATGGGAAGGCGGGGCGCGTTCGAAAGCGTCATGGCCATGCCAGAGCAAGGGGGCGCCTTCCGGCCCCGGAACGATGTTGGGCGGCGCGGGCGAGCCACGCGTGCGGAGGCTGTTTACGAGAGACGATCGCTCTCCGCGTCGGGGCACAGCAGCGAGCAACGCTGGATTGGAATACTCGCACTTTCGCGCTGGATATGGCGCTTGTTGGAAAGGCAGACGGGGTACGGGGGAAGGGTAGGGCGAACAGGCGCTCGTTTGGGGGATCCTCGGATACGGAATGGCTGGGTGTGGGAAGACGAGATGCGGTTGATCAGGCGAGGCAAGTGCGCGAGGCGATCTGAGTTGTGAGATCGCATCGGGCCGTGCCTGGCCGACCACAGGCGCGGCGCGGGCGTAATTATAAGTATCGCGTGCGAGTATATTCCGCGGCCCGCTACTCGCTGCCCCCCGAGCACATACTCAACTATGTCCATCGCCGATTCCTCCTCTGTCCGCGCCCAGTCCGTCGCGTCCTCGTCGGGTATGTGCGCTTCCACACCTGGCATATGTTGTTCTGTGTCTGACATATCACTGTCTACAGACCTGACGCGCAACTCTTCGGTGCCCTCACTCTCCGACGGATCGTCTTCGTCGAGCGTCTCTTCGCTCGGCAGCCCCGTCCTCCGGCCACTCGAGCACCTGGCCGTCCTTCTCCCGCGCGAGCTATGGAAGCCGGACCGGCAAGCCGCCCGCTGTGACGCGTTTGCCTGCCGCACCCGTTTCACGCTCTTCGAACGCCGCCACCACTGCCGCAAGTGCGGCGGCTGCTTCTGCGCCAACTGCTCCTCGCGCTCCACCCTCCTCCTCGACACTTCCTCTTTGGATTTCGTCCACCCACCACGTGGCATGCCCCTCGAGGCCTTCGCCAGCGAGCAGTCGCCGCTTCTGCCACATCGCGTGTGCGACGGCTGCTATAACCAGCTGCATGGCCTCCCGCGCACGAGCCTTCCGGTACCGGCTATCGCCACAGCAGACGAGCCATCTCCACTCGCCACTGTCAAGCCTGCCACGCGCCGCCCACGTCGCAGGAGTACAATGTCCTCGACCGGCCCGCGCACTCCGCCGCCCGTCGAGCTCCCGCCAGACCTCGCCGAGCTCGCGACCTACCCTCTGCGCCACCCATCCGCAATCTGCAAGGCGACCGGCGGCGGTCGCTGGGTACCGGCACCACCGCCCGAAGACCCGGCATTGAAGCGTATGCCCGGTCGTCCCGCAGCATACGAGGCGGCGCTCGAGGCCGAGGCCGAAGCCCGCCGCCGTGCTCTTCAGAACCCCATGGTCGTCGACGGTGCATTCCGCATGCGCCGCCCCGTAGACCGTGCGGCCGTTCTCGCCCAACTGGCGTCCAGCGCATAACATTGTAGACATTGCCTGCGCCTTGATCTCTCTCCTCCCTGCTTCTCTCGACTGGTCCGGAATCATCCCTGATATGCCCCTCATCCTTCACTCCGCGCGATACACCATCCCCCATGCCCCCGACCCCCTCATCACTGGCCTCTATGTTCTTGCATGCACTCCTCGCTTGATACTTGCTGTACGCTCTGCCCTGCCTCCTGCCTGCCCCGTCATACCTGCTGTCGTTGTTTATACCTCCGACCTCCCTCGCCCGCCGCGCACTTCGCAACCGCTAATCTGTACCACCAACTCTTTATTACCCTACTGCGGTTCGTCTAGTGCGCGGGCCTGATGTCGCGCTGTGCCATAGCTTGTTTGTTGTTTGTTATTAGTATTTCCTACGCCTCGCTTCCGTTCGTACTGGGTCTAGTTTGGTTATTAATCGCAGTGCAATATACTGCCTTCTTGGAACATAACACACAACTCTGCGTGAACGTATCGGAAGCCTCGGCCTTCAGAGAAAGACATGATGTCGTTTGCCAAGTGTCCCGCGCTCCATCCCGCCGCTCCTCCATCTATCTTTCCCAATATCCCGCGCACTAACCTGCGCGATCTCCACAGATGCCCAAATCCCATCTGCTCTCGCTCCAGACCGCCGAGACCGGTCCCCGTCATAATCTCGTTATATTTTTTCGATCCCAGCTCTAGCTCTCCACAACGCACCACCGCCAAACGCGTTTCGATATCTCGTGCAGAACGTCTCCCGCACATCCGCCCGAGACAGAAGAAACGTACCATAGCGCCTTCCGAGACAGCGCGCGCCACCCGTTACGGTGTGGCGGGCCTCCCCACGCCGCACGGCGCGAAGTTCGAACGGTCGAAGTCGGTCCGCCACGCACCGTGGCCTCTACGTACGACGTCGGATATACCCGCTGTCAAACACGCTCAAAGTCTCAAACCTACACCATCCCAACTCCCACAGGCCCATTGACGACATGTTCACCTTCTCCTTAGACTAGCGTAGGACCCCCGAAAGCCCAGCCAGAGGTCCGATATGCGCGGCGGCTCGGTGGGTA